ACTCACCCAATGGGCCTTTTCAGTACGCCAGCGCTGCTTCTCCTGCTCTGCATGATTTAGCTTCACACATGAATGCAAACAGGTGATTACTTTTTTGGACTTGTCGTGCAAACAGCAACATAGATCAAAACTTTACAACTGTGGAAACCCAGAACTCTTTTGTCAGAGGAAAAAACGTCCATATGTGTTCTTTTGAAAAATGTAAAGGCCTATAAATGGAAAGTCTGCCATCATTTACTCACACTAATGGCATTGTAAATCTTTATGACTTTTACCAAAATTAAGAATGTAAGCTGTAATACACTCTTAAAAATAAAGGTGCTTCACGATGCCATAGAAGAACCTTTTTGTCTAAATGGTTCCATAAAGAACCTTTAACATCTGAAGAACCTTTCTGTTTCACAGAAGGTTCTTTGTGGCGAAAGAAGGTTCTTCAGATTACAAAAAGGTAAGAAAAAGATGATTCCTTAAAGAACCCTTGACTGAATGTTTCTTTGTGGAACCAAAAATGGTTCTTCTATGGCATCGCTTGAAGAACCTTTTGAAGCACCTTTATTTTTAAGAGTGTACAATGATAATCTTCCCTTGCACCAAGCTATAAAATCTCATTAAAACATTACCAACTCGGTGCCTCAAGGTGTTGTATCCGATTTGATGTCAGAATATGCCACAAATTATCGGCTTGTGTATGCAGTCAAACCTGGTGCCTACGAATGTGTAAAAACAGTAATCAGATTTGAGAGCTATGGAGAAGATTTTAAAGGAGTAGCTCACCCAGAAATACAAATTTGCTGAAAATGTACTCACCCTCGTGCCATCCAACATGTAGATGAGACTGTTTTGGAGAGATTCAGCATTACGTCACTTGCTCACCAATGGATCCTGTGCAGTAAATCCACAAGTAACCAACAAAACTCCAGTCCATCAGCTGACCTCTTGTGAAATGAAAAGCTGCGTGTTTGTAAGAAACAAATCCATCATTAAGGCATTTATCTTTAAACCATTGCTTCTGGTCAAAATAGTCAATAATCCATAATAATGCTTCCACCAGTAAAAGTGCATCTCCTGTTGTCTTCTGACATCAAAATCCACCAACATATTTGTTCAGAACTGTTTTTTCACTGGAGAAAGCAATAGTATGGATAGGGGACTCTTAGCTCTTATTTTAGTCGGAAGCAACAGTTCAAATCTCAATGATGGATTTGTTCATTAAAAACATGAAGCTTCTGGTCAAAATAGTCAATAATCCATAATAATGCTTCCACCAGTAAAAAAGTGCATCTCCTGTTGTCTTCTGACATCGAAATCCACCAACATATTTGTTCAGAACTGTTTTTTCACTGGAGAAAGCAATAGTATGGATAGGGGACTCTTAGCTCTTATTTTAGTCGGAAGCAACAGTTCAAATCTCAATGATGGATTTGTTCATTAAAAACATGACAACGTAGTCAAGCATATCACACAAAACCTAAAAAGGGTTTAAATAAGCAAGCTGAACAAACTGTCTGTAAATGAGTGACAATGTCCAATGAGAGCGATTCAGCAGGTGATCTTCTTTTACTGTCCGATTTACTTTTAATATACTACTTTTAATATACCATCTAAATGGGGACATTGCATAGACTTCTATTGTTTTTATACACAGCTGCTTATAAATACTATAACCTAATATACCCATACAATCTTTTTCAATTTGTAGAAATCTTTCTTTAATTTTATACCAGGTTATATATATGGGCCTATCAGGTTTAGCTCACTTCTGAGGACAAATTTGTCCCGAAATTATGGTTTAAGTAGGTAAACACACACAAGTACAAGATTAGACTGTTAACTAAATAAAAATACAAATACAACTATTCTAGGACAGTACTACCGACCTCTTCCTCATCCCCCATGTAGTTGCCATATTGTTGTTCCATCACCTCCCGTTGCCAGCGCTCCTGTTCAAGGGTCTGCTGGATGAGCTGGGCCACTTCACTTTGCTCTCCTGGCTTCTCTCGGCCAATAATAAACCTGGAAACAGATGAGTTTATCACATACCACATACCTTTATCACATAGTCTTTTTCTTTACCTGTTAGTGCTTGAGTTTACGCTAGACTAGAGGAAATAGTTCTCTATTTTATTTTTACTTTAAATTCATCTTTTAATGGGGTCATAGTACATTTTCATACATTTCTACTGAGGTAATTAAAAGGGCTGCTTTTTTGCTGTTTGAGTTCAGTGTAAATGCCTTTTGAGTTCTTCAGAATCAGTAATGGTCTATAATTCAACAGTTATTGCATTACAATAAGACAATCTGCACTGAAATGTGTCTCTCAGCTGGTTAACATCAGACCAAAATGATCAGTGATATTTAAAAAAAAAAAAAACTGCATCTGCTCATTTCTAACGTGGGTTTCCTTCAAAAAAGCATATGCAGAGTAGCAGGTGATAATACAGCCAGAAACCAACTAAGATTTGACTTAAATAATAATAATAATTATATATAAACAAACAAACACTAGCATTCTATTTTTTTCTATTCTATCTACTTGTTTTTCTTTGTGTGTGTGTGTGTGT